ATTTGTTTAATCTGACCGCTCGTCTATTATGTGACATGTTGAGTGTAGATCATTATTATTATCAATATCATTATTAACATTATTATCTTTATCATCATATTTTTTTTTATTACTTTCATTATTATATCATTATCATTTTATCATTACATCATTATCATTATTATTATCATCATCAATGTTATTATTCTTCTTATTATTATTATCACTATCACTATTATTATCGGCATCATTATTATTATCATCATCAATATTATTATTATTATTACCATTACTATTATCACTATTATTAGTATTATCACTATCATCATTATCATCACTATCATTATTATTATCACTATCATTAGTATTATCACTATCATTATTATTATCACTATCATTATTATTATCACTATCATTATTATTATCACTATCATTATTATCCCTATCATTATCATTATCACTATCATCATTATTATCATTATCATTAATTATTATCATTTATCATTATTATCATTATTATTATCATTATCATTATTATTATCATTATCATTATTATTATCATTATCACTATTATTATCAACTATCATTATCATAATTATCATCAATTATCATCATCATCATCAATCATTAAAAATACTGAGTGTAGATCCCCGGAAGGAAGTTTCAAAGAGGGAGAGCGAGAGAAAATGTTTGCACGAGAAATTCCTACAATGTTTTTTCTGCAACATGAATTTGATAGAGAGGCTAATCAATCTCCTTGCAAACACAAAAATACTGCAGTCACAATCCCCCAAAGTAAATAGGGCTGACAAACGAAAAACAAATATGTTTATATGTATATATTTGTAAGTGTGTGTGTGTGTGTGTGTGTGTGTGTGTGTGTGTGTGTGTGTGTGTGTGTTGTGTGTGTGTGTGTGTGTGTGTGTGTGTGTGTGTGTGTGTGTGTGTGTGTGTNTCTCTCTCTCTTCTCTTCTCTCCTTGTCTCTCTTCTCTTCTCTTTTCTCCTCTCCTCTCTCTCTTCTCTTCTCTCCCTCTCTTTCTCTTCTCATCTTTCTCTCTCATCCCTCTCCCAATACCATCACTTCCAGAATAGTAATAATAAAATAAAAGTGGGGGGGGGAAATAAACCACAAAAGTCACTTATTTACACAACCTCTTTATTTCACCATACAACCCACGCGAATTTACCGTCCGCGAATTTGCTTGTTCCTCCTCCGTTATAAGTAAGTCTCGCTTCCGTGTTGTTTACGTTCATTTTCATTCAGTGTTTACGTTCATTTTCATTTTCATTCAGTGTTTACGTTCATTTTCGTTCAGTGTTTACGTTCAGCTCATTTTCATTCAGTGTTTACGTTCATTTTCATTCAGAGTTTACGTTCATTTTCATTCAGTATTTACGTTCACTTTCATTCAGTGTTTACGTTCAGTTCATTTTCATTCAGTGTTTACTTTCATTTTCATTCAGTGTTTACGTTCACTTTCATTCAGTGTTTACGTTCATTTTCATTTTCATTCAGTGTTTACGTTCATTTTCATTTTCATTCAGTGTTTACGTTCATTTTCATTCAGTGTTTACATTCACTTTCATTCAGTGTTTACGTTCACTTTCATTCAGTGTTTACGTTCAGTTCATTTTCATTCAGTGTTTACGTTCACTTTCATTCAGTGTTTACGTTCAGTTCATTTTCATTCAGTGTTTACGTTCACTTTCATTCAGTGTTTTACGTTTCAGTTCATTTTCATTCAGTGTTTACGTTCACTCATTCTTCAGCACAATTTTTCTTTTTCTAATGTAGCACCATTGAAGTCTTCTTGGATTGGCTAGAGATACTGAGATGTTTAATGAATAAATAGAGAATATTGGTGATGATTGACGATTGATGATGATGGTGTGATGATGATGATGGTGTGGTGATGATTGAACGATTGATGATGATGATGGTGATGATTGATGGTGATGGTGGTGGTGATGATTGACGATTGATGGTGATGATGGTGATGGTGATGGTGATGACTGTGATGATGGTGGTGATGATGATGGTGATGAAAATGGTTAGGATATTGATGATAATACTGAGTATGATATTATTGTAATCACTATTATCATCAGTATCATCATTATCACTATCATTATTAATCATCATCATCTTTATAATTATTGTTACTATCAATATTACTATCATCATAATCATTATCATTATTATTTTGTTATTATTATTTTATTTATTATTTATTATTATTATTATTATTATTATATTATTATTATTATATCATCATATATTATTATTATTATTATTATCATTCATCATCATCATCATTATAATCGTTATTACATTCATTACCATCATCATCCTCATCATCATCATTGCTATTATTATTATTATTATCAATGATATCATCATTGCTTTTATCATCATGATCATCATCATTATCATTATCATCATCATTATCATTATTATCAGTATTTCTATCATAACTATTATCATATCACAGTCGCTATGATTACTATTAATATACTGTTGTTTTTTATCATCATTTTTATCATAATGATAATAAAAATAACTGCAATAATAATAACAATAAGATTCATAACAACATCACTACAACTAATAATAATAATAATAATATTAATAATAATAACAATAACAAAAATAATAGTAGTATATAGTGGTAGTAGTGACAGTAGTAGTATAAATAACAATAATAAGAACTACAACACAATAATAATAATAATAATAATAATAACAATATAATAATAATAATAATAATAATAATAATAATAATAATAATAATAATAATAATAATAATAATAATAATAATAATAATAATAATAATAATAATAATAATAACAATAATAATAGTGTTACTATTATCATTATCAATAGCCAATAATAACAATATTAATAACAATAGTAAAACATAATAATCACAATCATCACTATAATAATTAATAATAACAGTAATAACAACAACAGCAACAATAACAATAATACTAATACGTATCATAATAATAATAATAACAATAATAATAATAATAATAATATATATTAATAATAATAATAATAATAAATAATAATAATAATAATAATAATAATAATTAATAATAATAATAATAATAATAACAATAATAATAATAATAATAATAATAATAATAATAATAATAATAATAATAATAACAATAACAATAACATAACAATAATAATAATAATAATAATAAATAATAATAATAAATAATAATAATAATATATAATAATAATAATAATAATAATAATTAATAATAATAACAATAACAATAATAATAATAATAACAATAACAATAACAATAACAATAATAATAATAATAATAATATCATCATAATAATAATAATAATAATAATTAATAATAATAATAATAATAACATAATAATAATAATAATAAGACACTAACACTGTTATACGTTACCAAATTCAATAACAAAATACAACAAAGACCATCAGGACTTCGTACAAGATCCGACCTTTGAATCCATAACGAAAACGGAAGGAAAACCACCTTCGGGACGACCCACTGCCAAGCAAGCTCTAAAAAAGTACTTATATAGAGACCTTGCTATCAAGTCGGTTTGGCTGACGAGCATGCAACGGGCGGTCGTAATGTCGAAGTGGGTGCTGGCTGTGGTGGTGATGGGGATGGCGGGGATGGTGGGGATGGTGATGGTGATGAGAATGGCCGTGATGACGATAAAGGTGATGATGGTCATGATGGCGATGATGGGGACAAGGTTGCGATGGCGATTGTGGTCTTGTTGGTTTGAATGGCCTTGTTACCCTGTGATGAGGCTGGTGAGGACGTTAATGGCAGTTACGACAGAGTGACGGCCATGATAACAACGTTGTCACAATAATAATCATCATTATTATAAAAAGTATTAGAGTCATCTTCACTATGACTATCAGCATGTTAATTAACAACATTCTCGATAACAATAATGATGTTACTATGGTTATAACAATATTACAAAAGTAATGAAAATAAAAATAATACCACAATGACATAATTATGATACTGATATCATTCGATAACGACAACAGATCTCTGTTCGATCATCCTGCCACTGCTCCCACGACTACGAAAGAGAGCAGAGCAGATTTCACAGCAAATGCTTTGTGCAGGCACAGCACACGTCTCTCAGACACAGAAGCGTCGTCCCTCTCTTCCCCAGAGAGCGCTGCACACGGCCCGTCTATTGCAGGATCTGCAGATGCACGATCTGGTAGGGCACGCTGCCCGCCTCGTCGTACTCCATGCCCTCCACCATGTGCGGCACGGCCTGCACGGCCTGCACAGTCTGCACGGTTTGTCCAGCCGACAGCCCATCCACCTGCACATACTGGACGGGTTGCATCTCCGTCATCTGGCCCTCCACCACGGCCTCCACCAGCTGCCCCTCCACCACGGGCACCAGGGTCGCCTCGCCGCCCTCGCGCCCTACGCCGCCCGCCACCCCCATCACCGTCACCGCGGTCGGGGGGCGGTGGTGCTGCAGGGACACGGCGGCCGGCGCAGACACAGGCACGCCCGCGGGCAGGTAGGCCGAGACCGACGGCGGCGCCACGGTGGAGGGCGGGCTGCTCACGTAGGGCCCCACGGCGGCGGTGGTGACGACGGCCTCCGGCGCGATGGCGGAGGGAGCGGCGTCCGTGGCGGTGGCGGCGGTGTTGACAGCAGTGGTGGCGGTGGCGGTCGGCGCGGCGACAGAGGCAGTGTCGCGGTGCTGCTGGCGGATATGGCTCATGAGGGTGTTGGGCCTGGGGAAGCGCGCGTCGCAGTGCGGGCACTTGTGGGGCGTTCGCCCGTGTGCGAGCGCCGGTGTAGGTGAGGTCGCCCTGCTTGAGGAACGTCTTCTGGCACTGGTCGCACCTGTAGGGCGTTCGTTGCGGTGTGCACGCAGGTGCAAGCCGCAGCTCGCTCGGATACGGGTACGCCTTCCCGCAAAGATGGCACAGGTTGGTGTAGGAGCGGCGGTCCGTGTGGTGGCGCTTCATGTGGTACGACAGGCGCCCCGACGAAAAAAACACCTGCGAGCACAGGCGGCACTGCAAGCGGACACGTGCGTGTGGATCTCGTTGATGTGCACGTTCAGGGAGTCGAGGGTCTTGAGCCTGGCGCCGCAGAACTCGCAGGCGAAGCCCTCGCGGCGGTGGCACCGCAGATGGTCCGTCAGCGCCTTGCGAGAGCTGAGACTGCGGCCGCACACGGGGCACGCGTGCGGGCCCGCCGCCTCGGTCGGGTGCGCGCGCCGCATGTGGCACTCCAGGCTCACCCGCGACTTGAACGCCGTGTTGCACACCAGGCACTCGTTCTTCTTGCCGTCGCCGGACGCATCCTTGCCGCCCTTCCGCCGGTGCGGGCACACGTGGTGGTCGCGGGCGTGCAGCGACGGGAAGGCCAGCGTGCACGCGGCGCACGGCCACGGGTAGTGCTCCGGGTGCTGCAGGTACCTGTGGCGGGCGAGGCGCGAGGGCGTGGCCACGACCTTGCCGCACACGTCGCACCGCACGGGAAGCCCGCCCGAATCCTCGCTCTTCGAGCTCTCGTCCTTCAGCGAGTCCTCGCTCTTGAGGAAGGCGTGCAGGAGGCTCGGGTGCTTCCGCTGCACGTGCATCTCCATGGCGTAGGACGTGTCGAGCCGGAGTGCGCACACGGGGCACTCGTGCTCGCCGCAGAGGTGCACCCGCATGTGGTTGCGCAGGTCCCCGTCGCCGCCGCTTACCGCGTCCGCGCACAGATGGCACCGCTCTTCGACGCCGTCGGCCGGAGCAGCGGCCGGAGAGCCGTGCGGGAGGGCGTCGCTGGGCGTGTCCCCTCGGGAGTGCAGGAGGCGCTGGTGGCGCGCCAGGCGGGACGAGCACGTATACACGCACGGGCACTGAGGGCAGCGGAAGGCCCCCGCCACGTGCGTCAGGACATGGTCCACGTAGTCCGTCCGCGATGCCAGGGTCTCGCCGCAGCCGCACACAAGTTCCTCGAAGTTGAGCTTCGCCGCCAGCTCTTCGGGCGGGATGTTACTAGAAGGGGACGGCGGCGCTGGCCTGACGAGGGAGGGCGCGGGGGCGGCATGCGGGGGGGTGCCGGGCGGACGGTCGTCGTTGCCTCCCGGAGCGACGGACGGAGTTCGAGGGCTCACCTGGCCCTGCATCCGCGCCGTCGAGGTGGTTCGTATCCAGCTTTGAGGGCGCGACCTCCTCCTCCTCTCTCTGGGCCTGAAATGTAAAGGCATCTGTTCAACTTCACTTACTATAGTTTACGTTCAGATGACCAAACAGATCTTGAACGTTGATAATAAATTCTCACAAAAAGTAAATATACTAATAAAACGGTAAATAAAAAGGGGGAGAGGGACAGGGACAGAGAGAGGGGGGGGGCAGAGAGACAGAAAAAGAAGTGTTTGAGTGAGAACATACATGTGGGTTTACATATATACCATACTTACAATAATATCCTTACACGATTTATGTTGAATTTCTGCACAGCATAAGACACTACCACAAGTCAATCATTCATATCTATCCATAATGGTACCACAACCCCCGTAACGAGGATGCGGACCTAAAAGAGCCAACGAATCCTGACCTAGAATCCGTGGTTAGAGGTATTGTCGAGGGAGTTGTTTGCGTGTCAGTCTCCTGCTTGTGTGTAATAGTACTGCCTTGATTGGGTCGTTCTTTTCATTGGTGTATGCCGACTTATCAGGTTAATAATAAGAATATATAGTAGATTTTTTCTTTTAATTTAACTTTGATCATCACAGATTTTAAACAGCAGAGCTGTGCTTATGTGTATACATATATACATACATACTTTATATATGTGTATAATATATATATATATATATATAATATATATATATATATATATATATATAATATAGAGAGAGAGAGAGAAGAGAGAGAGAGAGAGAGAGAGAGAAGAGAGAGAGAGAGAGAGAGAGAGAGAGGAGAGAGAGAGAGAGAGAGAAAGAGAGAGAATTTTCTAACATTGTACCACTTTAATGCAATATAAAAAGTTTTTATACTCCACGACCTACACCACCTTTACACTAAGGGAGTGGTTGCAGCTGCTGCCCGGCCTCCATCCGGTCGCGTCCTCAACGAACTGCACGTAAATGACCTGCACGGGCTGTGCGGCCTGCTCTCCGGCCGCCCTCTTGCCGTGCCCGCCCTCCCCCATCGCCCCCTCGACGTCGTCGTCGCCGCGGACATCGGTGGCCTCCAGCAGCAGGTCGGGGCCCATCCCCAGCAGTTCCCCGCTGCTTAAGTCTTCGACCACCTGCGAGAGCTCCAGCTGGCCCTCCAGCTGGCTGCCGTCTAGGTCCGTCACCGCGAGCTGTTGCACCTGCAGTGTGGACGGCGTCAACTGCTGCAGTGTGGTCTGCAGGCGAGGCTGTGGCTGGGCAAGGGAGCTGGCTGCAAGACTGCTGGGCGACGGGAACACCTGCAGAGTCTGCGGCAGGTCGGAGGGCGGCGCGTGTTGCGGCGGCTGATCGCTCCCAGGGGCGACTTCCCCCGCGCCGAGCCCCCCGACGTCCGCGGGCGTGTGCGCTTCTGCCTCCTGCGGCGACGCGTCGTGGCAGATCACGGAGGAGGTCAGCTCGTCGATCTTCTTCTTGGAGTACTTGAGGCGCTTGCCCTTCCTGGCCGCCGTGTGCTTGAGCATGTGCTTCCGGAGCCCCAGGGGCCGGATGAAGGACTCCTGGCACAGCATGCACTGGTGGGGCCGCTCGCCCGTGTGGGACCTGCGGTGGTAGGTCAAGTCGACGGCCTTCAGGAAAGAGCGGCCGCCACGACGCACGCGCGCACTTGAAGTCTCGCTGGTTGCGGTGCGCCTTCAGGTGGCGCTGCAGCTCCACGTTGTTGACGTAGCCCTTGCCGCACTGCTCGCACAGGTGCTTCCTGGGCGCGTGGTGCCGCTTGTGGTGGCCCGTGAGGCTCGTGCGCGAGTAGAAGTCCTGGCCGCACTCGTGGCAGCGGTGCGTTTTCTCCTTGGTGTGCACGGCGTTGATGTGCTTCTTGAGGTAGCGGCTGCCCACGTGCGCGCCGCAGAAGCCGCACTCGGCCGTGCCTGGGTGGCGGCTGGAGCGGTGCGTGGCCAGCGCCTTGCCCGTGTGGAAGCTCTCCTTGCACACCTCGCAGGTGAAGTCCGCCGGGAGGCCCAGCCGGTCGCCGTGGTGCACCTTGATGTGCGAGTGCAGGGCGTCGACCGTGGGCGTGACGGCGCCGCAATACTGGCAAGGGTACTCCGTGAAGTCCGGGTGCAGCTGGCGGGCGTGGTGGTGCAGGTGCGACATGCGCGTGAAGCGGAGCGGGCACGCGGGCACTGGGCAGCTCACCGACGGCGTGGCGGCGCTCGTGGTCGCGCGCGCTCGCCTCCAGGCTGAACCTCCGACCGCAAACGCCGCACTCGTAGGGGAACATGGCGGGATGGGCTGTCCGCAGGTGCGTGTACAGGCTGGACACGGAGCCGCACTCCCTGGCGCACACCTCGCACGTCGTCTGGTTCCTCCGGGTGAGGCGGCGCTTCCGGCTCGCCTTGGCTTTCCCGGCCCACTTCCTCGCCTCGCTCGCGGAGGGCGGCGGCGCCCCTGCCCCACGGGGCTCCTCCTTCGCTTTCCCCGTCGCACCGGCGTTACCTGCGACCCGAGAGGAGCCCTCTTCCTTCACCTTCATCTCTTCGGCGCTCCCTATCTGAGCGAGGTCGTGGCCAGTGGAGAGGCAGTGAAGCTCCGCCAGGACTCTGGAGGGGAACGTTTGCCGGCAGTGCCCGCAGACGCACTCTGCCGCCGCCGACCCTGCAGCGGCGCCGCTGCCCTTGCGGCTCGGCAGGGCGCTCTGCCGCAGGGTCATGAGGCACGGGTCGCAGGCGGTGTTATCCTCGTACGTGAGGAACCTCCTTCGGCACCGCTGGCAGTCGCGCTCCCGCTGCTGGTCTCGGTGCTGCGCTGCGAGATGGGCGGCCAGCTGGGCGACGTCCATGAAGATGGTCGGGCAGTGCGGGCACTTCCTGAAGGAGGCCGGCACAGTCACGACACGACGGGTGGGCGGTTGTGGCGCGGGCGAGGGCGGGACGGCGCCGCGAAGGAGGTGGAAGTCGCCGCGCTGAGCAGGGCCCGTCTGAAACACACAGCAGGAGTCAGCACCGGCTTGTGTTAGGTCACTCCTCCCTCTGCACCCACACCACACCGCCCACACCACCTCTAAGGCACCCATGGCAAGCCCGCCCGGGACACGGACGACTGGCATCACGCGCCTCTTTGTTTATGTTCCTTTGCCTTCCAAGTCATAGTGACGACAAGGCGGGCAGGGCGACGAGGGATGCCTTCGCCTTTCTTCTTGCTGACCCAATTTTCACGCGAGAGAGGAGAGAGGAAGGGAGGGAAGGAAAGAGAGTGAGAATATATATATATATATATATATATATATATATATATATATATATATATATATATACACACACACACACACACACACACACACACACATGTATATATATGTATATATATGTATATATATATATATATATATATATATATATTATATATATATATATATATATATATATTATGTATGTATATGTATATGTATATATATATATATATATATATATATATATATATATATATATGTATGTATATATGTATATATGTATATATGTATATATGTATATATGTATATGTATATGTATATGTATATGTATATGTATATGTATATATATATATATATGTGTGTGTGTGTGTGTGTGTGTGTGTGTGTGTGTGTGTGTGTGTGTGTGGTGTGTGTGTGTGTGTGTGTGTGTGTGTGTGTGTGTGTGTGTGTGTGTGTGTATGTATGTATATGTAGAGAGAAAGTAAAAGATGAAGAAACAAAAAAAAAGTATAAAAGGGAAAAAAGAAAGACAATAAAGGTAAAGAAAAAAGGAAAACTAAAAACATAAAATATAAAAGACACAGTAAAAATAAAATAAAAGTAGAAGACAAAACACAGGAAGAGCCCCCCCCCAAAAAAAAAATAATAATAATAATAAATAAATAAATAAATACTAAATAATAATAATAAAACAAAAAAATCCTAAGAAAACCAGAAAAAGTAAAAAACAATAAAAACCAACACACACACACACACATAAACAACACCCACACCCACCCACCCACACACATGCACACAACACAACCTGCTAGCACCTCATTGAGCACCGAGAAGAGCCACTCGCTAACCTTCCCTCGCCAACACGTGCTCTCGAAGGCTGTTCACAATGATGCTTCTACTCATATACTATCAAGATGATATCAAAAGAAGTTGTAAAAGAAATAATAAAAAAAAATGCCTCATATCGACTTATAATTTGCATTAACGACAATGAAGAGGAAGGAGAAATCATAATAAGACCAATGATAATGCTACTGATATCAGCCGAAAGGATAAAAGCAACATTAATAATAACAATAATTGTGAAAATAATCATAATGTAAGGACGTATGTAATTAAAGCCACAAAGCCTGCAGTTATATTAAGAGTGTGGATGTTCATAAAAATAAGAAAATGTTTTCATGAGTTATTGATAAAAAGCAGGCACTTTCTTTAACATTTTCTGGTGGATAATATTCAAACAGTTTAAATAATGTTTAACTTTATTATTTTATGTACAATAAACGCCAGCTGTTACAAAAATAAATTATATAAAGGAACGTGAAATATCTAGGATTTAATCATGCATGCTCTCACATGACGCTACATTATTTTGCACGTACACGCACACACACGTGTGCGCGTTCGTGTGCGTATGCGTTTGAGTGTGAGTATGCGTTTGTGTGATATAAATGCAAGTTTACTTTCCAGTTAAAGGCAAAATATCGAGAAAATCAAAAACCCCTACACAATATTTTAACTGGTTTAAGCATACTTTACATTCACGGTTATGTTGTTGAATTCGGGTTTTGGACACTGCTTTGTTCGAGACCTTTTCATCGGGTCATGCCCCCTGCCATTCCGCCCGTCTGTGTCTGTGTATGTCTTTCAACGGCTATCAATCTTTCTTTCTTTCTCTCCCCCCCCCCCCCGCCCTCCTCTTACTCCTCCTCTCTACCTGCCTCTTTCTACCTGCTTGCTCTTTCCCCCCTGTTATCAATTCTTTATCTCCATCGATCGATTGAGAAATGAACGTCTGCCTGCTCGACCGCCCTAATGTGTGCTGGTGGTTCCCTGGCTGCGGGCGCCGCGTAGGCGCGGTGGAGGGCGTCGAGGCGGAGCTCCTGGCGCGCGCCGGAGGCATCGGGCGTCGGGAGGAGTTCGGCCACGATGTATTGCTCTTCGGTTGCGGAGGGACGGAAGTAGGGAATCGTGTGGATCGGCTGAGCGCCGGAGGAGGATAGGATGGAGGCGGAGGAAGACGCGGATGTGGTGGTGGTGGAAGGGGCGGCGGGGGCGGCGGCGGCTGAGGACGTGAGGGGATCGTAGGACGCCCGCGGGGACGAAGACCGATCTTCTGCGCGGAAGTACCCGACGCCGTGGATGGTTCGGGAGGCTCCCGCAATGGGCACACCCGCGGGAGGGCGGCCATCGGCTCTACGCCGTCCTCCGTCAGGGAGTAGATAGGAGCAACCACCATCCTGCCGTCCCCGTCGCCCACCCGGGACACCCCTTGCGCCACCGGGGGACGGGCCCGCCTGCCACCACGTCCTCCAGCCGCTCCACAACCTGGTCAACGTGAACGAACTCGAGCATCAGGTCGTCCTTTTTGGGCAGCGCAGGAGCGTGTCGCGCCGCGCTCTCGCTCTTGGCTGGCTGGGCCTCGGACGCCTGCAGCCTCTTCCTGTACTTCCCTTGGTACTCCTGCCGGTGCACCCGCCGCATGTGCTTGGCCAGCACGTTGGGCTTAGCGAAGCACTGCTCGCACACCTGGCACACGTGCGGCTTCTCGCCCGTGTGCATCCGCCGGTGGTAGGTGAGCTGCGACGAGATCTTGAACCTGAGGCCGCAAAACTCGCACACAAATTTCCTCACGTTGTGGTGGACGCCGGCGACATGCGTGCGCAGGTCAGACGGCATCACGAACTTCTTCCCGCACACTTCACAAAGGTGCCTTCGGGCCGCCTGCCCAGGTGATTCCTCTTGCGGTGGCTGAGCAGATTAGAGGCGTCGTGGAAGACGGCGGGGCACTCGGGGCACGGGTAGGAGATCTTCTTGGTGTGGCAGTCGTTGATGTGCCTCTTGAGGCAGTGCGGGGCCAGGAGCGTCTTGCACTCCGGGCACGGGACGCGTTTGTGCTTGGCGACGTGCCGAGCGAAAAGTGATGCCCGAACTTTCTTGTGGCACACTTTGCACTCACGGCTCTTAGCGCCATCCTCCGCCTGCTCCCGGGCTGCCCTTACCTCGCCATCCTGTGCCGCCTCTGCCAAGCTTCTGTCTTTATGGCGGGTCCTCAGGTGGCTGAGGTAGCCCATAAACCTCCCCTTTACGTCCTCATTGCATACAGCACACCTTACGGCCTTGAGGTCAGAATGGACCTTCTTGAAGTGTTCCTTCGCAAGGGTAAGGTTGGGCAGGACGTCAGTGCAAGCAGGGCACTGGACATCGGAGGAGCAGTGTGCTTCCTCCTTGAGGCGAGGAGGGCTGGCAGACGATCCTCTCGGCCTGTCCGTTGTGCCGGCGTCCCCTCCGCCTTCTGCGTCTGGTCTAGGGGAGGCGCCAAGGCAGTCTGGGCAGCCATCTTGGCCGGGGAGTCTGGGAGCTTCCTCCGCAGGCTACGCGTGCTGGTGGCGGCGGCAACAGCGGCTCCCTGGAACACCAAGACTGCTGGTTCACACTTCCAGGAAGGATAGAGGGACACTGTGCCAGTAGCACTCTGCAACTGTTTATGACAAGAATTGACCTAGGGATTACTGCCCCCCGTGCGAAAATCATACTCCATGCCGACTTCCCTTCTCCAGATCTCACACAGTATATTCTCTTGCCAGATAATCAGCCTGTATATCAATAAAGATAACGAGTATCTGCCCTTTCTACCTAAGCATAAATATGCAAATAATTATGTAAACAGAAACTACAAGAGTAAATTAAGTTATATCTGTGCTTTTCCCAGCATAGACTCCATTTCTTTTTACCCAAAGAAATCAGCCAACTTCGGGTAAACAAGAAATGTGTGCCAGAAATAAGTAAACAAACTTTCTGGTAGTTTCATGCAATTTTCATAATGAACAGACTTCAAATTGTTTGCTAGAAATTCATGATCTTGAATTATTTGTGTCATGCGTGTTCTGTGATTTTCGGTTTTGTTGACAGACACTTCTGGCGTCAACGATATTGATTTGTAACAACTCACGGTAATTCAAATGAACTAGACAACATGGCTCTTCCACTTTTCTATAGTATTTGACTTCCAGGCCTCTCATTCTCTTTTAGCTTTTATTCTATCAAATGCATAATACTGAGCCGACTCACGAGACCCTTCATTCTGACTCATCTTCCGCACTCGGTCTGCAGGTACACATACGGACGCACACTTACACATTTTTACACATACGGTCTAGGTCCAAAGTCCCAGAACCATCCCTCCCCTCCCCCTCGCACCGGTCTGCGGGTAGCACGAGGGGAGGGGTCAGAGAGGAGGGGAGGGGTCAGAGAGGAGGGGGAGGGGTCAGAGAGGAGGGGAGATGGGTCAGAGAGGAGGGGGAGGCGTCAGAGAGGAGGGGGAGGGTCAGAGAGAAGGGGAGATGGGTCAGAGAGGAGAGGGTGGAGTCTGAGAGGAGGGGGAGGTCAGCGAGGAGGGGAGATGGGTCAGAGAGGAGGGGGAGGGGGAAGGGTCAGCGAGGAGGGGGGGTGGGTCAGCGAGGAGGGGGGATGGGTCAGCAAGGAGGGGGTACGGGTCAGGGTCTCACCCAATTACAAATTACACACAGCGTACCGAATAGCACGAATTGGCTACCTCAGGTTCTTCGTGTATCCGGCTTTATATTGAGTAATCGATAGATAATGTTAAAGGCGCAAACATGAAACCATCGTGTAACAATTCGGGTGTTTCGCGCCGCAATTTCATCGTCTCGAAACGTTATCCACTCGCGTACACACTGGCACGTTCTGCCGCCCCAAACTACTGTATCTTATACTTAAGAGTTTAAGATTTTGTGTAAATAAATACTATTTTAAAGGCACCGTAAATAATGACTTGCATTTGGGTTTTCTTTTGGCCACTGTTTAACGTTTCTATAAACCCCTTCGATGGATATTCCTGGATGCGCCACTGGCTAGGACAGTCGAGTAGGGACAGCTTATGATGGCGACTGCAAGGTAGTTCTCCAACTATGCCGGTCACAAAAAGTTGCCGATTTTGTCAGTCTTTCCAACATTATTTTTTTTTTTTCTTTTCTTTTTTTTTTTGCATTTGGGCGAACTTTCTCACTGCCAAGCTACAAATCTGCTGAATTAGACACCACGAACTCTCTTATCTTTACAACTATACTCGGGATCAACTTCATACTGAATTTTATAATGATGACAACGACCACTTGAGTAACTTCGAGAAGGCTATACTGTACCGCTCATGAACGATGTGCTTTTATTTAATAGAATGAGTGAACAGTCTGCTGCGAATACCGAAGACAGATAAAACTAATTCGAGTGAAAGACAGAGAGTATCTGGTTAAATCACGTCGCCCCAAACCTTTTCCATTCGCGTCTAACTCCATATCGCCGCCACGGATGATCCCTTTCCATCTACTTTCGTATTTTTCAGTCCAGCCGCCCTCACCCTCGACGACACTCAGTAGCCGTGATTTGCATTCAGTCACGGTCAAAACTCTTGTCAAGCCTGTTTCGAATTCCATCTCTTGTCAAGCCTGTTTCGAATTTCATCTCTTGTCAAGCCTGTTTCGAATTTCATCTCTTGTCAACCCTGTTTCGAATTCCATCTCTTGTCAAGCCTGTTTCGAATTTCATCTCTTGTCAAGCCTGTTTCGAACTTCATCTCTTGTCAAGCCTGTTTCGAATTTCATCTCTTGTCAAGCCTGTTTCGAATTCCATCTCTTGTCAAGCCTGTTTCGAATTTCATCTCTTGTCAAGCCTGTTTCGAATTTCATCTCTTGTCAAGCCTGTTTCGAACTTCATCTCTTGTCAAGCCTGTTTCGAACTTCATCTCTTGTCAAGCCTGTTTCGAACTTCATCTCTTGTCAAGCCTGTTTCGAATTTCATCTCTTGTCAAGCCTGTTTCGAATTTCATCTCTTGTCAAGCCTGTTTCGAACTTCATCTCTTGTCAAGCCTGTTTCGAATTTCATCTCTTGTCAAGCCTGTTTCGAATTCCATCTCTTGTCAAGCCTGTTTCGAATTTCATCTCTTGTCAAGCCTGTTTCGAATTTCATCTCTTGTCAAGCCTGTTTCGAACTTCATCTCTTGTCAAGCCTGTTTCGAACTTCATCTCTTGTCAAGCCTGTTTCGAACTTCATCTCTTGTCAAGCCTGTTTCGAATTTCATCTCTTGTCAAGCCTGTTTCGAATTTCATCTCTTGTCAAGCCTGTTTCGAATTTCATCTCTTGTCAAGCCTGTTTCGAACTTCATCTCTTGTCAAGCCTGTTTCGAATTTCATCTCTTGTCAAGCCTGTTTCGAATTCCATCTCTTGTCAAGCCTGTTTCGAATTCCATTTCGAACATACGCTTCACGCCACACCCCTTGTATAGGGTAAGACAGACTCGAAGCTTCAGTTGATCAAGTGACTCTTGTTCGTCACTGCACGTGTTGGGCGACGTACGATTCGCTCCCACGCTTCTCCCTTGGTCGCTGCCACAATTCTATGCTTTATCGTGTCGTTGATCCTCGGTATAATAGTTGCCATCATGAATACTGATTTTTTAAGTGTAATCCATTTTTTTCTCAAATATAAAAGGCTAGCTCATACACAAATAAACATGTAATTTTCATAAGACCTTTATTGCAAAAATTACCTCATCACTGGGATTGTAAAAGTTTTTCATCCTTACATATGGATCAGTGTCTGAATTTAAACCTTTGGGAATGACACAAGACTGAAAATTTACACTGCAAAAAATAGATAAGTTATTTGAATTTTTAATTAAATAACGTACTTCCATCAAAATAAACATAAGAAAAGATCATAATCTTCCCACATCCCCCTGCATAACAATGAAATGTAAACAAAAATAAATAAAGAAAAAAATAAACAATTTTCAGTTTCCGATTTTAACTCTCATAGACCACGTAGACCACCCCGTCCTGCTCCACGTCGTAGCTCTGGCCCTGGCCGAGGTCCTGCACGCTGCCCACGGCCGAGATGACCTCGCCGCCCATCTCCATGGGCACGGTGATCTGAACTATCTCGGGAATGGGCGCCGACCCGTCCTCCAGCCCCTCGGCAAGTTCCGTGGCCCGCGCGTCCTCCTGGCCGGCCTGCTGCGCGTTGCGCCGGCGGGGCTGGCCGCGCTGCTCCTGGCTCTTGGGCCGCCCCTGCTTGAAATAGACGCCCGGGTACTGCGCGCGGTGGTCGTGCTCCATGTGGCGCTTGAGGTAGGATGGCACCCGGAACGACCTGCCGCACAGGGTGCACTGGTGGGGCCTCTCCCCCGTGTGCAGCCTCTGGTGGTACGTGAGGGACACCTTGCTCTTGTAGCCCTTGCTGCACGTCGTGCACCAGTAGTTCCTCTCTCCGTGGTGGACGCGCGACAGGTGGATGCGCAGGTCGGCGGGGGTGAGGAAACCCTTCTTGCACGTGTGGCAGATGTGCTTCCGCACCTCCTGCCCCATGTGAACCCGCTTCATGTGGAAGTGGAAACTGGCCTTGTTGTGGTACACTGCTCCACACTGTCGACATTCGTACTTTTTCTCTTTGGTGTGGAGGTTCATGTGGATCTCCAGGTTCTTGACTGTGATGCCGCACACCTCGCACGTCTGCATGGCTTGGCTGTGGTTGCGCATGTGGTACTTCCACTGAACTTTGTGAGCAAAGGACTCCCCGCAGATCTTGCATCTCACTGGCCGCTTGTCATAGCCGGCCTCTTTCGGGTGCTTGAACTTCAGGTGCTGAACGTACGTGGAGTAGTTCTTGAGTGTGATCGGGCAGTACTTGCAGCAGAAGCCGTCCACCTCAGGGTGCGCGCCCAACAAGTGCCTCTTCAGCTGGTCCACCTGCCGGAACTTGAGCTTGCACGCGGGGCACTGGTGCGAGCCGTACTTGTGCCCCCACTTGTGGGACAGGAGCATCCACTCGGTGCGGAACTTGCGCTCGCACTCGTCGCACTTGTAGGCGAACGACTCGGGATGGTCCTTGTACTTGTGGTGGTAGAGCTGCGTGGCGAACATGAAGCTGGAGCGGCACAGGTTGCAGGCGTGCGGCTGCGTCTCGCCGTTCGCCAGGGCAACGTCCTCGTGGTCCAGCATGTGCTTGTGGAAGTCAAAGGCCAGCACCTCCTTCAGACACAGCTCGCACACCCGAACGCCCCCACGCCCGTGCTCGCGGGCCTCGTGAGCCTCAAAACTTTCGTAATCATTAAAACTTAAATTGCAGTGTGAGCAGCTGATCGCATACCCCGACTTGTGGCAGAGGTCCAGGTGGGCCAGCAAGTGGTCCCTGATGGAGAACCGCACCGGACACACCGGGCACGTCATCACTCCGTTGAAGTGGTGGACCACATGCACCTTGAGGGACGAGGCATCCTTGCACAGCTCGCCGCACAGGCGGCACTGCCTCGCCACGCTGTCGTGACACTTGTCCATGTGACGCTCCATCGACACGCTCACGAGGGACGAGAAACCACAGTATGCACACTTCAGACCGTCCTGGTCAGCGCCTCGGCTCGCTTTGGTTTTTCTCAACTTGTCAGTGTCCTTGCTGTCTGGCGCCGGCCTCTTCCGCGGCGCCCCGCCCTCGCCCGCGGGAGCCTCTTCGCCCCCCTCACCTCCACTGTCCCCCTGCTCCTCCACCTTGTCGATGACGACGCTCTCGGCGCCCTCGAAGGGCTCCAGCAGCGTCTCCAGGTACTGTTGGTAGGCTTGTTTGTTGTGCTCGTCCAGGTGCTCGTCGTAGGCCTCCTTCACGTTGAAGTCGCAGTCGCACCAGATGCAGCTCAGGTTGATGGGCACGGGGGCGTTGTCCCCCGTCGCCTCCTCCTTCATCTCCATGAGCAGGTCCTCCTGGTGCTGCGCCGCCGCCACCGAGCTCCCGGCCAAGATGCGCTGCGCGTCGACATTGGGGTGCTCGTAGCGGACGTGGCGCCGCAGCTGCGACTGGAAGGAGAAGGCGGCGCCGCACACGGGGCACGCAGGCCGGCCAGAGGCAGCGGAAGTGGCATCATCGGCACCGTCACCTGCACCCCCTCCCTTCCTCAACCACACCGCCTCTGCCTGCAAAGACCAAACACTGGGCATCAGTACGGGCCCCGTGTGCGCGCTGCCGCCGCCGCCTCCCACGCCCTCTCCGGCACACGCAGGTACTCCCTTCCCCTTCTCCCTCTCTTACTCTCTCTTTCGCGCTCTCACTCTCACTCTCGAACAACCAGGTATTTTTCCACATAGATTTTTCGCGGAACTCAGAAATGTGATTCTTATGTGGTATCTCTAAATAGCACATGCACGTCAATGACTCATTGCACAAAATAAAATGTATATTCTTATAACATTTTCTTCCTATCCATCCCACAATAATTCAATCATACATTATATATAACATTTACATAAGTACTTATTCAAATACATATATGTGTGTGTGTGTGTGTGTGTGTGTGTGTGTGGTGGTGTGTGTGTTGTGTGTGTGTGTGGTGTGTTGTGTGTGTGTGTGTGTGTGTGTGTTGTGTGTGTGTGTGTGTTGTGTGTGTGTGTTTTTGTTGTGTGTGTGTGGTGTGTTTGTGTGTTGTGTGTGTGTGTGTGTGTTGTGTTGTGTGTGTGTGTGTGTGTGGTGTGTGTGTGTGTGTGTTGTGTGTGTGTGTGTGTGTGCGTGTGTGTGTGTGTGTGTGGTGTGTGTGTGTGTGTGTGTGTGTGTGTGTGTGTGTGTGTGTGTGTGTGTGTGTGTGTGTGTGTGTGTGTGTGTGTGTGTGTGTGTGTGTGTGTGTGTGTGATATTTTTCTATCATTCCATCTATATATATATATATATATACAGTAATTGCATATATGTGTATACTGTTTATATTTAAAATGCATACATGACTTTCATCTTGTCACCTGAACAGTTTAGCATTAATTTTTTCGTCTATTACATCACCTTTCTTTATCAACCTCCAATGTACTTCTGAATACCTTAAATCCTGCCTTTATTTTGCACAATTATGCATAATGTTATTTTTAAGATATATATTGTATTATAGTCTTACACCTTGGTAAAGAAGAAAACTCATAATCATAAAAAATATTTTATTTGCGGCACTAGTTTCCCTATAAAATTTCATAAATGACAAATGTATGAACTTTGCTTTACACAGTGTGCATTTGTAACAAAAATAACCCCCATATTATGATAGGATTCACGACTGTCGATCTAACTTGCATCTTATGGCCCCCATCTCTTAAGTCGTGATTCCTTTGACTACGGATACATGCAACCATCGTGAGAACTTGCAACAAAAATCTCAGATGAAGTTTCCGCTTTTCGTGATTCGACAATTCCCAATTTCAAACCACTGTAGAAACTCGTATATAGGTCAATTTTAAGTCCCACCTCTGTCCCATGGATAAGTTTAGTTTCCATAAAGTACATGGTATACATTAGCAAATCCACTCAACTATTTTACATATCCGCAGTCAGTTCGGAGAAACTACAAGACGCAATACTCAGTAGCATATTCGAAGTTAAACCTGTTTAGTTCTGATTTGTTCATGATTTCAACCTTCATAATGTGGACCACTTTCTTAAAATTTCGAAAGGTATCATTCAAGACTGAAATTGCCAAACCAAAACAGGAAATCTAAATCAAAGAGGTTTGACCGATTTTTTTCCCAGTAAATACAATTAAGCTCGGCAATGTAATCTTGTACAGAAAATTAGGGCCATGCAAAATAACGACCATGTTAATATTCTTTATAGTATTTTGCAATTAAACCCAATATAATAATATATTAAAATATCTGCTATGACATAAGGCATTCTGACCTATAATCACTCCAAGAAATAAACAGTCAATCGGATGTAGTAAAACACTCAATGTAAAAATATGAATAAAAATCATCCTTAACAGGAGAGCATCAAGCGATCACCATAAATGACAAGAACCAACAACTTCGCCACACACACACAGCTATGGAGCTTGGACTGGTTCTTGACTTGACCATAAATCACCAAGGAGGAATGTATTAACATTGTTATTGACAAACTATGCGGGCGGCGTTTGTTGGCCTTTGCTGCAGCACCAATCGATACAGAGCCATAGCCGGAATACCATCAAACATTCGACTGCGCCGTTACATGTCAAGTAAATCTAAATAGCATCATTTAAGTATCTTCCACGATAGCAGAGATTATTTCTCTGTATTTTGTACTTGATCATAAAGGTAGCCCTTCCAGATCATAGCGGTGTGATATAGCATGACCAGACAGTGTCGCGAACATGTAGTTGCAGTGCTTCGGTGTCCCTGGCGTCTGCAATGGTTGCTGAATTCAGGTGCCAATGACACCACGACCTTGGCGCACGGCGAGGCGATGTACTACTCAAGCACACTCTGATGAGTTCAGGTACAGTGTCAAGAGGGGGCAGGGAGGAGAGGGGAGGGAGATAGGAAGATAGAGAGATAGAGAGATAGAGAGATAGAGAGATAGAGAAGAGAAGAGAGAGAGAGAGAGAGAGAGAGAGAGAGAGAGAGAGAGAGAGAGAGAGAGAGAGAGAGAGAGAGAGAGAGAGAGAGAGAGAGAGAGATAGAGAGAGAGAGAGAGAGAGAGAGAAGAGAGAGAGAGAGAGAGAGAGAGAGAGAGAGAGAGAGAGAGAGAGAGAGAGAGAGAGAGAGAGAGAGAGAAGGGGAGAGAGAGAGAGAGAAGGGGAGAGGGAGAGGAGAGGAGATAAAGAGAAGAGGAAGGAGGGGAGGGAGGGAGGAGAGAGGAGAGGAGAGGGAGAGAGGAGACAGAATGATATATAGAGAGAGGAGAGAGAGAGAGAGAGAGAGAGAGAGAGGAGAAGAGAGAGAAGAGAGAGGAGAGAAGAGAGAGAGAGAGAGAGAGAGAGAGAGAGAGAGAGACATATATATACATATCAAATTAACATATACAAAAATATACAAAATACGTACGTACGTACATGCGCACATACAGTACATACATTCATGGCGTTTTGTACCTCATCTACGTGTCGTCCATGACCTGAATTATATACACGCCTTCCTCTACCGTGATAATCTGCGACTCGCCCATTGGCACACCCACGCTCTCCACCCCGGCCACGCCCTCCATGCCCACGCCTTCTACACCCTCCACCATGCCCATGTCCCCCACCACGCTCATGCCCCCGATCCCCACTTCGTCTCCAATCACGACCGCCTTCGTGACCCCGAGGTCGAGGTCAGTGGAGGTGAGTGGCGCAGCCTCCCCGCCCTCGGGCTCAGCCCCCAAGGCCTTGGGCGCCCCCAGGCCGGTGCCCGCGCGCCGCTGCGGCTTGCGGTAAAGGTACGCGTACGGGAGGTGATGCGTGCCCTCCATGTGCGTCTTGAGCATCGAGGGCCGGTGGAAGCCCTGGCCGCACTCCTGGCACTTGTAGGGCCGCTCCCCCCGGTGCACCTTCAGATGGTAGGTGAGCGCCGACTTGTTCTTGTAGCGCTTGCCGCATATCTCGCAGAAGAACTGGCGCTTGTGGAGGTGGACCTGCTCGTCGTGGGTTCGCAGGAGGGCGCTGCTGATGAAACTCTTGCCGCAAACCTTGCACGCGTGCGCCCTGGCACTGGGGTCGTGGCGCAGTTTGTGGTGTGCCAAGAGGCTTGACCGCTGGAAAAACACCTCGCCGCAGTCCTCGCACGGGAACTGGATGGCTCTCGTGTGGAGGTTCATGTGGACATCCACGTGGACGAAGAACTTCTTGCAGACTGGGCATTCCTGTTTGGGAGCATTCAGCTTCTTCAGGCCATGCTCCCTGGCCAAGTGCTGGTTCATTAAGATGCGGCTGGCCAGCTTCTCCCCGCACTCGCTGCAAGTCAGGTCTGCGCGATCCTCTAGTAAGTCGGCATGAGCTGTCTGGCAGTGATAGATGTACTTACTGTACGAGGTCAGGCGGCTTTCACAGTACTCGCAGGGTATTGAGGTCACGTCTGCATGATCTTTCGAAAAATGGCTCTCGACATGATGCCGGTGCCTGAACCTAAGCTTGCATATGGGGCACCAGCAGGAGCCGCTCCTGTGGCCTTCCACATGCAGCTCCAGGGCCCGCTTCCCTTTAAACCGGTGGCCACACATTACACACTCATTCGCAAACTTATACGGATGGAGGGAGTAGTTGTGCCGAGACAAAGCCGCCGCACTGGAGAACACGAGCTTGCAATCCAGACACCTCTGGACTTGCATTTTGCTCAGCCTGCCCCGCTTCCGCCGCCTGACGATCCGCCTGGGCGCCGAGAGTTGCGCCGGAAGAGGCACCGGCTTCTGTATGACCCTGTGCTCCTCGAGGTGCTCCTCCGTCTCGTCGCGGGGGTGGAGTTCGCCGCACTGCTCGCACGTGACGGCCTCGTCGACATCGCCCTGGCCGGCCTGGTGCGGCTCGTGTCTGTGCCGTCGGTACTCATCGAAGCTGCCTGTGGTGAACTCACAAAACTCACACTTGATTAAGAAGTCCCCAGTATGCTGGGCTTCCATGTGCCGCAGGAAGGGATACTTCTTCCCAAAATGAACAGAACAGAATTCACACGAAAAAGAACCCAGGAAGTGTTCTACAATGTGAAGCTGCAGTTGCTTCTTATGCAGGAACCTCTCAGGGCAGAGCCTGCATACGTGCGGCAGTTCGTCTGGATGAGACAGCTTCATGTGAAATGACAAGTCTGCCATGCTGGCAAAGACAAGCTTGCAGTTGGTACAGTCTGTCATCTTTCTGGGGCGTCCCCGTCTGGGCAGGGACTGTGGCTCTGCAGAGGGCGCCTCGGCCAGACCTTTCTCCTTCAGCAGCTCAGCATATTTCTTCAGGCAATCGTTCACATGTTCATCCCGGTGTTCCTTCAGAAGCTGCTCGTCGGCCAGAGTCGCAGCGCAGAACTGGCACCGGTGGAGGGTGCCCTGGGCGCTGCCACCCCGATCCCGCTGGGTGGCACAGGCGGCAAGGTGCAGCTTGAGGCCTGCCAGTGTGCTCTCCTCCGCCCCGCAGCGCCCGCACTCGTAGTGGCAGCGGTGTGAGGCGACAGAGCGGGCCGAGGTGAGGGTGTGGCCGCAGGACCTGCAGGCCAGCGCCCACCGCCCCCACGAGTCCCGGCTGAGGCTAAGGTAGGACCTTAAATTGGGCGCGGCGTCCAGGAGCTGCAGGACCTCGTCCCCGGGAGACACTGCCAGGGACCCCTCTTTTACACCCTCAAGGAGACCCTCGTCATTGCCCTGAGGAAAATACGGCCTTTTGTACTACCACACACTATCACTTCTTTAAAGCGACCAGTCATGCAAGAGATGGGCACATCTTGCACACTCTTCCCAAAAGTATGCAAGGCTGTCTCTGTGCAACCATTCCCATGAGACCTTTACCTTAACATTAACAAATAATATAAACAGGAACAGTATATTTTCGACATATATGCTGTCAATTTTCGTCCGCACAATAAGAAATTCAACTCTAACATACCCATATCAAAGTCATACAATAATATTGTTATTTTTACTATCACCATCGGATCGAGTCGGGTCAGGGTAGGGAAAGGTAGGGTAGGGAAAGGTAGGGTAGGGAAAGGTAGGGTAGGGAAAGGTAGGGTAGGGAAAGGTAGGGTAGGGAAGGTAGGGTAGGGAAGGTAGGGTAGGGAAAGGCAAGGCAAGGCAGGGCAGGGCAGGGCAGGGCAGGGCAGGGCAGGGCAGGGCAGGGCAGGGCAGGCAGGGCAGGGGGCAGGGCAGGGCAGGGCAGGCAGGGCAGGCAGGGCAGGGCAGGGCAGGGCAGGGCAGGGCAGGGCAGGGCAGGGCAGGCAGGGCAGGGCAGGGCAGGGCAGGGCAGGGCAGGGCAGGGCAGGGCAGGGCAGGGCAGGGCAGGGCAGGGCAGGGCAGGGCAGGGCAGGGCAGGGCAGGGCAGGGCAGGGCAGGGCAGGGCAGGGCAGGGCAGGGCAGGGCAGGGCAGGGCAGGGCAGGGCAGGGCAGGGCAGGGCAGGGCAGGCAGGGCAGGGAGGCAGGGCAGGGCAGGGCAGGGCAGGGCAGGGCAGGGCAGGGCAGGGCAGGGCAGGGCAGGGCAGGGCAGGGCAGGGCAGGACAGGGCAGGACAGGGCAGGGCAGGGCAGGGCAGGGCAGGACAGGGCAGGCAGGGCAGGGCAGGGCAGGGCAGGGCAGGGCAGGGCAGGGCAGGGCAGGACAGGAAAGGACAGGGCAGGGCAGGGCAGGGTAGGGTAAGGCAGGGTAGGGCAGGGCAGGGCAGGGCAGGATAATAACAATAATAATTCATAATAATAAAGAGTAATAATAATAATAACAATAATAATAAGAGTAATAATAATAATAATATAATATAATAATAATAATAATAATAATAATAATAATAATAATATAATAATAATAATAATAATATAATAATAATAATAATATAATAAAATAATAATAATAATACAAATAGTTATAATAACAATGATAGTAGTAACATAAAGAACAATCTTACAACCAATAACATTATGGAAACAAAAAATGAAATAATAAAAATACAATGAATATTCTTGCAATATCATATGAAAAGCATAATGAGAACAATATCATGGATGATCTTGCTTATGTGTTTATCGGCTAAGTATGTCTTCTCAAAGTTTGAAAGGCAACCCAAGTTCTCCGTTCCAAACCTTTTTTCAAGTAAAACAAAAAAAAATTCCTTTGTAATGCTAATGACCAGAGCAAAAGCAACTACCATTCACTGTAATTTTAAAGCAAAACAAACACAACAAAGAAAAAAACATGAATTTTCTTTCTCCAAGAATAATAATATATATTCATGGAGTCACATTAATATCTTATCTTCCCTTTTTTTTTTTCATCCAGTGAAATATGTATGAGAAAGCCTATATTACCATTACTATAGTTACAAATATTCATTTCATAATGAAAGCTATTTAGGAAATAATGAAATGCATACAGAAATTTTTGCTATATTTCCAAATGAACACATTCCATTATATACAAGACAATATATTATATGCAAATGTTACTTTGTACTTGGGTTAGTATATTACATGTTTAATAAGTTGGAACTTATTTTTTGTCTTTGTGTAGACATATCCTTTAACATGAGACACTAGACATGACATCTGCTGTTTTAAGTTATATTCATAAATGCATTCATAACCACAAAAAAAAAAATAATAATAAGTTTTAAAAAACTGAAAGACTGTGGGACTTCATTCAACCAGTTCCACATAAATGACCTGCATGTCTCCTTGGTCATTTGTAACATCATGTTGCTGTTCCTTGTCCAACTCCTGTGAGAGGGCCTGCACCATTTGCAAGGAGGCTTCACTTTGTACCACATGCACAACATGGCCATCCTCCCCAACCTCTGTGATAAGCTGTGCACCATCCTCCCCGCCACCTGTGACTACCTGAACATCAAGATTTTGATTTCCAGATTCTCCCAGGATTGCCTCAGTGGCTGCATTCAAAGAATCTGGCAGAGCCGATCTAAAGTAACGCCTCGTTCTGTGGTGCAGCCCATGGGTGCGAGCTAAGTGTGTGGTTAGCTCAGAAGGACGGCTGAAGGCTGCTCCACATGAATTACAAGCATGAGGTCGTTCACCTGTATGAGTGCGCCTATGGTAAGTCAGATCTCCAGCCTTGAAATAGGCCCTCCCACAAAATTCACACTTGTAACGTCTCTCATTGGTATGTGTAGCAGTATGACGCTGAAGCTCATTTTTTGTAATGTATGCCTTCCCACAAGTCTGACACACAAAACGTGAATAGTGCTCCCGTAAATGGTGGCGCTTCACATGCTCAGAGAGCTTGCCTGGATTGAAGAATAACTCGCCACAATAGGAACATTCACTCTTGTGTTGTTTAGTGTGCTTTTCATTAACATGTGCAGCAAGGAGATACTTACTCATCTGTTTCCCACAATACGTGCACTTCACGAGCTCTGCATGACGACTGGACTTGTGCTGTGCCAGCTCTCGCCCAGAGTGGAATTTTTCCCCACATTTTGTGCAGCGAATATTTCGAGCCAATCCTAATTGATCAGGATGTCGAACAAGGACATGTGTAAAGAGTGCATTGATGGACTTTGCAATATGAGAGCAATGCTGACAATGAAAAGAGACAGTATCATGGTGTGTATTATCGCAATGGCTCCTTAAGTGGTGGAACTTTGCAAACTGTTGAGGGCATAATGGGCACTGTATTGCTCCTGTAGTGTGGGTTTCTGTGTGATCAAGAAGTGCACCATTAGACTGAAACTTCAGATAACAGATCTTACATTTGAACATTGGTTTTTCACCATGACTGCGCTGCATGTGGCGTTTCATGGCCGTTATTGACTTGAACTTCTTTTGGCAGTGACTGCACTCATTTCTATCATCCTGCACAGATGATCCACTGAGAGCATCAGCTAAAGATGCTGCACCACCTTCTTCTTCTTGCCTGTTGGTAGCCTGCACCGACGCTTCTGCCTGGTGAGTCAGCATGTGAGAGCAATAGTCTCCCACATTCAGAAAAGAGTGCCTACACACCACACACATAAAGGCTGTAGGAATTTCAGCATGTGCACCATTCAGATGAGCAGTAAAAGCTCCTGCATCAGTGAAGCACTCAGAGCAAGCTGACAAGAAACTTGGCCCATGAACACGCAGTACATGTCCACCTAGCTGGCGAAAAGTGCGGAAACGCATGTCACAGAGAGCACATGCACGGACCAGAGCTTCAGGATGGTACTCCGCAACATGGCGATCTATGTCTCCAAAGGGAATGACCCCACACAAGTCACAGGGTCTGTAGCTTGCAGGACGACGGCGGCGCAGGCGGGTCCCTTCAGAGGGGTCGAAAACAGTGACAGCACCCTGAGCTGCCCCTTCGAGACAGTTGTTGGCAGAGCTATTGTCCACTAATCCGATGGTGACCACGCCCACGTCCCCCTGTAACATACACACCACCTCACTGCCATGACACAAAATTCCACTCTTCTAGTAATACACATAATGTTGTACTTAACTCTTCCCTGACAGCTCTCCAATTGGGTATCACGCAATGAAGTTGGGAGTCTTCTCTGGATCTACTATACATTCAAAATTATTCTAATTTGAGAATGTCCAATTCAAATGAATTTAAGAAATGTGATACCTTTGGTTATACCTACAACCTTGCTATGTAACTAAAACTTCCTAAACCAGGTGTTTCATGTATTAATATGAATTGTAACCCAGCAAAAATAACTTAAAACAGTAGGCAATAAGTCTGGAATATAAAGCTTAAGAATATCATACATTGTTACACCCCAATCACAGTTATCTTGCCTTATAGGTAAGTGTTCTTTTTTTATATCATTTCTTAATAAAATAAAGCAATTATGAATACTGTATTCACAAATGTACATATGAATACTTGCATGTTTAAAGAGGTAAGTAGGTTGGTAGATTAATCATTGTGTATTTGCATGAGTGAGTGAGTGAGTGAGTGAGTGAGTGAGTGAGTGAGTGAGTGAGTGAGTGAGTGAGTGAGTAAGTGTGAGTGAGTGTGAGTGTGAGTGTGAGTGTGAGTGTGAGTGTGAGGTGAGTGTGAGTGAGTGTGAGTGGTGAGTGTGAGTGTGAGTGTGTGTGTTGTGTGTGTGTGTGTGTGTGTGTGTGTGTGTGGTGTGTGTGTGTGTGTGTGTGTGTGGTGTGTAGCATACCACGTGGGTGTATAAATATAGAATACCA